TTAATATATTTTCTTATTTTTTAAAAAAAGATTCAAGAATACATTTAGCACAAATTGACTATTTAAAATCTATTTTTCCATTAATTTTCAACTTTATTTGGATGTACTTTGTTTAATCATTATTTAAATATACTTTTCACATCTTATCATATTTATTTATAGTATTTTTATTTTTTAATGATTTTTGACTGCCCAGAACTTGCCTGATTGGAATAGTTGAATCGTCCCGTATATCAATTAGACTCAGTTGAACCGCTTCCAGACCCATATCTTATTAACGTTTCCGGTTCGATTTATTTTACACGGGTTTTTGTGCATCAGACTTTTATGGCAATGAATCGAGCAAAGAGAATTCCCCCTCCAGAATTTTGATGTATTTTTGCATTCGGCCTTTTGTGTTGTGAGTTGTAAATTGTATATGAGTGCTCTTTGCACTCCTAAATTTCCGGTGAACAACTTAACAACAACAATAATGATGAGAACAATCGCAATAAATTAATGTTATAATAAGTTAACATCACGCAAACTTCCGCTGCCCAACTTAACAACAAGAATAATAATGATGATAATAATCGTATTAATTATTGTTATAATAAGTTAAGAACAGCAATACCGACTGAACATGTGAAGAAGCCAAAGAAGTGGTGTATCGTACACGAGTAACTTTTGAATGCTAAGGACACAACATTCACTGGTCTACTGGCAAAGTTTGAAAAGTCAAGATTTATGGAAGTGGTTTGTGGCTGGCATCATCCTTTTGTCCCTATCAACTCTGGTAAGATAGCACTTCCATTTCACCCATAAACAAAATAAAATAAAACAAGAAATTTTATAAAGAAAAAATTTATATAGAGCCCAGGCTCTAAACAATCAAATAGGAAAGCCTACTTCAAAATTTTCACTAGAAGAGGTTGTTTTGGTGCCCAAATATATTCAAATCAATCATCTTGACATCAAGATGCATGGATATGAGAAAAAATAGATTTCAAATTGTGAAAATAGTATATTTATAACGCATTTTTGGACTGTCAATTTTCTAGATTTTCAAGTTTTCATAGATACGTCCTTCTACGCTATTTTTGAAGCTTTAATATTTATAAATAGATATGAAAATATATTTTAAGGCTATTACAAAAATTTTCAATATCGAAACCACTTTTTCTCGACACTTTTTGAAAGTATGCACTGATTTGCTTGTTTAGATCCTAGGCTCTACACAAACCGCACCCATTCTATAATGATATTAATTACAGGGAAAATATAGAATGAGACCATTTACCTCTGATACAAGTGATCGTATTGATCTTGACCATTGGATGTGAAATTGGGTGGCTGCAATTATTCCATTGACCAAGCTCAAACTTCAAAAGAATTTTTCTCGAACTTTATGACACATCCAAGCTATCAAATTGCACATCTAATGGTTGTAAAGAATTGTTACGACCTTTATCTTCATATTGTATACAATCCCTTATTTATATTAGATGTTAAATTGGGGAGTTTAGATTGTGTTGTACAATTTGAGAAACTTTTTTTTGAAGTTTTATTATGTAGCCAATGACACAATTATAGCCTCTCGATTTGAAATTTCATGGACATGAATTATTGTGATCTCATTGTGCTAATATAT